AAACTGCATTCTGACACAGCGCCCAAGTTCGAAGCCTATGTCCTTAAAAACTTGTGCTTAACTTCCCAGGTTGACGGTACTGCTTCGTCAGGAACTTCTGCTTTCGAATCGCGATGTCATCGCTTACGTCATGGATGCCTGCCTCACACTCTTCTACCCTTTCAGCCACTAGAAGGGGTCCTTCATTCCCCTGTCGAAGAGGGATTTTTCGTTCGAAACCGATTGTAGCGTCACGCACCTCAAAAAAATGAGTTTGAGAAGGCTACTTTTGTGATTGTGGTATATTCCGTAGTTTTTTCATCTCACATTTCTAAGTTGTCACCGACTTCTAGCTTTTGACGGCCGTCCGATGTCGGACTTATTCGTCAGAATCGAGGCGACATAGAGGCGAGGTGACTCGGATTGATGTCCAGTGAAATTCCCTCCGCAAGTCAGTATCTTCCACATTTAGCAAGCCCACGTCCTCGATACAACGTTTCCCACTCAGAAGACTAGCCGTTATGTCCTAAGGGTTTTGAAAGACATACACTCTGAGACAGAGAGAAAGCCGCCCGTTGGTCGTCGGTTACGCAACTGCTATTGCCAGCAGAAAGGAAGCAGTCTCCATCTTCAAAAGATATCAGTACAGAGAGAGGGTGATACTTCGGCTTTTGACTAGTTGGCCGTCCACATTATCTCCGCAACCAATCTGCAAACGTCCCGACCTCGACCTGAGAGGTAGAAGGCCATCAGTTTAAACTACAAGACAACCACCACGTTCCTCTGATCGACCAACCCATTCGCCATAGTTATTGTGGTGCTGATTCACCACGAACAAAATAAACTACTTCACAGGAGAGGCATGCAGGTCAACCGTGGGTAAAATGTGGCATAATGGTTAGGTACTCACTGCAGTTTCAACGTCCCCCTAGCAGCCAGTAGCTGTATATTCTTCGCCGTTGACTTCAGCACACAAGCACAACCCAGTATAAAAAGAAAGGTGCAACCACAGACGTTGAAATGTTTGCATGAAAGAGTCACGGAGAGGAAAACTTAAACAGGACATCCGGAGGGATCAGGAGAGAGAGTTGAAGCCCTGAAAAATGATGATGCTTTTGCAGACGACATCAGTGTTTAACCCGAACAGGGAAACGGGGTAATTGTAGCGACCAGAATCCAAAAATCTTGGCCTGATAGCGGGAAATAACGAAGTGATGCCGACTGACGTGAATCCGATTAGTTCCTGCGTTCTACTGTATAGCTTCCTAACTTCCGCGGGTGACGCACATTCAAAGGTTGGATCAAAATATCAAAACATGGCTTGTAGTAATTCAATAGTAGATTCGTAACAAAATCTGTGGTACTATCAAAGCAACAATAAGTTATGTCAAAATTACAAAAATACCTCAACAGTGCCATTGGGCAACTATATAGTCCAAAACGTTCTCGGGTACAAATACGTACTACACGGTAAAAACTGGTTAAACAAATACAACTGTTAAGTACCTGTCGGTCGATAGGGATATTCCCGACAAAAGGGATCAAAACTCTGCCTACCAGAATCAAATCAATAAACAATCGTCCCCAGTAGACAGTCAAAAGACAAACAGTCAAATCACTGCACAACCGTAAGTTGAACCAAAACAAAGTGTCGGGCACAGTGAAACAACACCTTGTCAGCAGTCCAACGTCACATAATAGGAAAGTGAAACATTCATGATGGGTCTCAAACATACAAAGGCAAATACCGAGTGCGAAGTCAAACAAGACGGTCAAACAAGCAAATAACATTACACCGGCTAGGGTCAAAGGTACACCATCCATAAGGAGGGTAAAAATATTAAAATAAATGTCAATACAGTCAAATAAGGGTGATCGGGAGGGATTTTCAGATCAATTTTTCCGTTACAGTAATAGACTAGTACTGATCTCCCTAAGGGCCAGGAAAAACTGTCGGTAGCTGCACCCAAAGTTTTAACTGCCATCGAAAAGCAGACAAGCCAGGGATGAACAGCCACATCTCAAATGCACTATAACCACTGGAATGGTAATCTCTCTCTGCAGATAAGCGTCGAATAAAAACAAAGGATTTATTTTAGAGAGATATCACATGAGTGCGAGTAGACGACCACCGCTTAAAAGCCTTCAAGTGACTAGCACGACATGTAGCAAAGTACAGGAGGGAAGAGCCTGGTGCAACTGACGCACGTTCTGAGAGGGGTCGGAATTCCTTGGATAAAAGAAAGTATGCAATCTATGCAAAACGATGGTTCGCAACAGCAAGTTAAAGTTCTAGAGCTGACTGAGTAAACGATTAAGTTGCCACCCTACAGTTGAGCCTGTTGCAGGAGCGAACCAAGATTAGCATGGCGTGGAACTGCCGAGCACACAATTTGATGTACAGCCTACCAGGCCTGTTGGTTCACCACCAATATGCAGTTGCTTTCCACAGTTCTAGGACTGTGATGCAAAGCTGAATGAGACAAAAATTTCGCCAAACCGAAGGTTCGAAAGACTTTATAAAGTTGTGTCAGGATAATCTCCTAGCTTTGATGCAATGCAACCAGTAGACCAACAAAACTGTCCCGAAGTGTTAAGTGGGCCCATATGCAATCTGTTTATGCACTCACTGCAGGTAAATGGCGGAAGTCATTTCTTCCCGACCAACTTTCAAGGGAGAAGACTGAAAAATATGAGCAACTACAGACCCAAAGCGTCGCGTCTCTTACCTTCAAGAGTTCTGGGAGAAATGGTTGCAGACACTGCTTAAGGTTCTCTGAATGGGACCAGCATCGTCCATTTCATGCGGTCACATATCTCATAAGCTCAGCGATCTCTGGGATCATCGTATTACCACATGGGATAACAAGTAAATAGTCCATATCATCTTCGCGGAGACAGCCGAGGCTATAAGAACAGCCCGGACAACACGGTGCTGGCTGAATTTACAAAACTGGGCATCAAAACACTCACAGATTGGTTTGGAGCATAACCAAGAGGTAGAGAGTTTCGCAACATTTTAAACAGAATTTGGTCAGTTAATAGAAGATCAAAGACTAGTGTATCCTGAGTAGCTATCCTTGGATCACTGCTATTCAGAGACGACCTATCTGTACCCGTCCTCTTGTCCGGTGTTTTGATTGCCGAGGAAATGAAGCTGTTGAGGATGATAGACAAGCCAGAGAACCATGCAGAAGCTAAAGACGATTTAGTGCAGTTGGTTTGAGATTCAACCCTCAAGTGAAAGGTGATACATCTTGGAACACCAAAGGCGATAACGGCTAGCAGCTTCGCAAGCTCCTGGGTACCGACAGATAATGGCCTAAGACAGAATGCCTCAGATACACTATATACCACTGTTAATTATAGAATAGTTGGGGTGTAGACAAAAACCATCATACACTTTCCAAGAAAGCAAACCAAGGCTATCACCCCTTAGTTTTTCTTCCCGAATTTCAAAACCTTCATTGGGCTGTACTTATGAGAGTTCAGTAAGGTTATTCACTCCCCTCCGAGAGATAAATGCATGCATCCTCAAGGGGATACAGTGGGGAGCGCCAAGGCCAATTACCAGACCAACACACTACATATCCACACGATATCAAGGTGGGCCGAATCTGTTGATCGTAAGGCAGTGAAGAAAGGGGAATGAGCTACTGACCAGTGACTAGATAATATGCCAACTGGACACCACAACACGACAAAAATACCTACCCAGGGCAGAAAATCCCACTGCAACCCCCATCAAGGAGGTGAAGAGTAGCACTAGACCTAGTTTTTTTATCACAATGTAACCACATCCTCCTTATTTGACTCCTGTAAGTGAATAGCAGACAAACACGTTAGAGCTTACTGCTTCTCAACTAGGTATCCCGGTGGCCACTGAACGTTTGCTTAGTAATTCCTCTTCTGCTTTACCACCGCATCTACACTTCTGACCATTATCCTACTATCTTTTTGCAGATATCATTGTTATTCTCCATTGCTGCTTATCGTTCTTTTCTTTCCTACTGCATAACTACATACACAATCCTCCAAGCCATCTTATAAGATATAAATCTGCCACTTGTCCACCAAAACATTAGCAGAAAGGTATTTGGCCGCATCAACACCTGCCTAACTGTCCCGAAAAACAAGCCTAGAATTTAGGGAAGAGAACCACCGACAGACAGTCATTGTATTCGAAGCCATACAGAGATGAACTCACGTGAACTTCTGAGTTCACCAAGGGGGCAAAGCCAAACAAAAGAATCAGACCTGAAGAAACACCAGAGAGGATTCAAAAACTATCAGCTCCCTTAACATAAGAGTAAAACTTGGGAACTGTGGTAGACTCTGATCCCATTTTAGTCTGTTTACAAGAAACATTATGCAGTGAAACAGTATCATCCAGCAAATGACACTGTTTTGCTATGCGATATTTCTAATAAACAGACTAAAATGGAATCATCAGCTCCCTGTACTTGCATTATTGAGGCTGGATGCTGGACTGCGTAAGCAAGTCGAAGACGACAGTTAGCTTAGTTCCTATGACTTGATAGTGATGTAATTAGGGAAATAATGACCTCGTCAGACCAACATTACCTTCTCCCTACTTACTAGTTTCCATCAATTTGTTCGATATACCGGTATCGTCCTCCAACGCCGCTCTAGTAACTACACTCTCGCTGTCTACTTCATTCTTCACGAACGTCAAACATGGCTTTCCTGGTATCCTGATATCCATATTAGGGCACATACACTGGCCACTAGTTTTTTCTTTAACCTTTAGCTTAGTAACCAACTCAACCTACAACTTGCAAATAGGAACCCGCAAAAACTCAGTCATCTCACCAGAGGTAAAAGCAGGAATGTGGATGGCTTACTTATCCTCTACAGAAGCGAAACTGGTAGACAAGAACCATAATCATCAACCAGATTCGAGAGCTGGAAAATCATCAGTTCCTAATGTTGCGCTACTGCTGTTGGATGTCAAACCATTTCAAACGCGCGCAATTTAGAAAGTGGACTTTGTTACAAAAATGGGGTTGACGAGAGCCAAAGATGGCAATCCGTCCACCAGATTTTATGAAAACCCAGAGATCATTGCCACTTTTGATCCAGTGAGGATCTGGTTGACACGAAATCACAAGAAGTATACGCAAACTGAGCCTCCTACGAATAAAAGTTTGGCCACTTTATGCTTTCAACTACTTCAGTTTCAAGAAGTTAATTTCACAAGCAGTGTAAGTTTGGGTAGATAATTTTATTACGTGCTCAATTTAGTCTCGGAATTTCATGAAAATTCCATTCAAGTGCTTTATGGATTTTAAACCAGGTGGTGGATTGTGTCATATATTTCTTACTTGTTTCAAATTTCGTCACGAAAACAACTGGAAGAAGATTGATCTCTCCTCATCCTCAAGGTTAGAGAAACATCTCGAAATGTTTTCGGTGATTGAACGCGAACTGATCACTTGTGAGTGTATGGAAAAACCCATTATCTACATATCTCCTGCAGTTGAAAAGGTTAGCCATATTGTTTGGTTGCGCACAAGATGTATCCATTTTAGGATGGGTCCGTATTGCAGTTTACTGCCGTCTATCCTTTTTAATTTATATGTTTGTTGTTTATATAATTAAGATTCGACTGTGTTCATTAATTCTCTATTTTCAAGTTAGTATTCATTGAAACTCATTTCTCTATTTCTTAAATTTGGACATCTTTTCGAAGTAATACCTGACTAATTAATTTCCACCGTCTCGTGTTTTTTACTGTCGGGTATCATGTATAATTAGAGGAAGTTGCACTGTTGTGTTTTATGCAGGAATTATGATTTACTAATCTAGTCCTATTGATAGGAGTTATATTTAGTTTGAACTAATGTTTTATGGTAGATACTGACTAATGTTTTTCATTCTGTGGAAAAAAAAGTAGAAATCAGAACTTTGGATTGAAGAGTTATGCATAATAGGGTTTCAGATACCAACCACAACATTCTAGACGGTTGTCTCTAGTCTTACAAGCATAAACCAAGACCGCATCTTATATATATATATATATATATATATATATATATATATATATATATATATATAAAATACCTGTGCTGGTTTTAATCTTGCTTACTATGCATCTACCGATACCTCATAACTACCCAAACTCAAGAAACTTACGAATGCTTCCAATGACTCATTTTTAGAGGTATATGTAAAAACGATCTTATCACTGTTAAAAGAGTACTGTTACATTATGTAAGACGCATCAGTCGTCAATGGACTAATTTCTACTTAATCATTTTGTATAGTGTCACAGTAAAATTCACTTCCATATCTCTCACTGAAAGGCGTGCTGAGTAAGTACATCACCTTATTGAAGGCTGTCTATTCGAAACACTTGTGGGCGTGTTAGAGCTTGTGGCGAGATGTCCGGCAAGTTGTACTCGTCTAGTGGTGTCCTCCAAGACTGCCCATTCTCTTCATTCTTATTTAATTTCACCATGGATATTCTTATGGAGGTCTACCTTTCATCGCCTGACTACACAGAGGTTTACCCACTCGCTGGAGACTTTTCGTTAGACCTAGAATACGCAGGTGATATACCCCTGTTAGGCGAGGACGCTAACAAGACGCAGAGTCTTCTGGACACTGAGTGGCAGTTTGAGAATGTTTGGGATGCGTTTCTCACCACCCAAATGCAAATTTTTACTCTAAGATTGGTCTTCAACAGTGCCTCGGCTAACAATAGAGACTGTAGTGATTGAGTGTGTTGACCACTTCACTTATGTGGGAATTAGGATCAGCCCTGGTGGCTGGCTCAGTGGTTGATGACAGAAAGCTTGGTTGACTTTTGCCAAGTTACACCACTTGTGGCGCCACCGTGATATCCGATTGTCTATTAAGGGTCGTGTGTACTGCACCTACACAGCAGTCCGGTCTGTTCTACTGTATGGCTGTGAAACATGACCATTGAAGGTGGAAGATATGAGAAGGCTGGCTTCAGGTGCTTGACCACTGTCGCCTTCGTAGTATGGGCCACCGTATTCCATGGTGTCACCACGTGAGTAACGGACAAGTTAGGTGTAGAGTTTTAGGGAGTAGAGGCAAATTAGTTGATGAGGTTGTGGACCTTCATCGACTGGGATGGCTGCAATACGTGTCACGTATGCCTAGTGGCCGTCTACTTCATCCCACAATGTTGGCCGAAGTAGTTTCAGGCTGGAAAGTGGCTTGAGGTGGCCAGACTGAGACATGTCATCAATGTAAGAAGTGTTTGATTGTTGGTTTGAGCCATATGGGGTGATGCAGACTGGGTGGTTGTGGTCGGTGGGACAAGACAAATCAGTGGTTGGAGACTGTAGGTGATATGGCTTGGAACCGAATTCAATGGCGTAGATGTATACATACATTATCCTCATCTTGACGACGGAATAACGAATCTCAACATTTTCTCATTCTTCCTCTCTTTCTTTGAGTACTTTATATTTCTTCTGAGTGAATTTTCTTTTCTTCATCTTGTACTTCACTGACTTTTTACTTGGTGTAGTGATATGAGGTGTGGCAACTTGGACCATTGCGCTGTAATGCCTGGTCCCGCATTGATTTGTGTGAATGAATTATCTACAAGATACTTCAAATGGTAGTTCTAAAAATCTATTTAGGAGTCTAATAATCCTGCGCCATTCAGATTTAGAAGTGTTTTGCGGTGGCATACGCACTTGGGTTTTCATCTACCTTTTATAGGTCGTTTCTCTGAATATAAAGAAAAGGAAAATCTTAACTTTCCACACCTTGGGCAACCTGTTCAGATAGAAATTGTCAGTCGGCTGCCTAGTTTTGCTGATTAATGGTTCAACCTACCACACCTTACACCAGTATACAAGATGTAGGGGGGTAAGAAGGAAAATAAATGAAAACATTACCATTGGTGGAAGCAAAGAAAACATCAGAAATTAACATAATGCAAATGAGGGTAAGACATAGAAATCTGCGTCACTGCGCTGGTTTCTGAGTAGTGTCACTTATAGTTCCCAACTATCGGTTTCAGTTGTCTTGTCAAGAAACCTAAATTCGCTTACTCACCTCATTTCAATATATTTAACGCTGTAACCAGAAAATTACACCCAACTATGAGACTTATGTACTTGGAAATCTCTAGGGGTTCGTCTTCTGAGATTGCTCTGTTATAATAGACTTCGAAACTAACTGGGAATGTAGCAGCTCGTGTAATGGATCAACTGAACTGCTCTCTGTATTACTGCTCCATTTATTGTAGATATCCTGAGAGGTTTTTTGTCAGTTATATTTAATCGCTCTTTCTGTTCTGTTGCTAAGTTTGGTAACCTGAACTTATGCATCTCTTTCCAAGGCTCTACGTTGATGTATTAGTTAGTCACTTGACCCATGCTATTTTGCTAACGTCTAACTTCCTGGTGTTGATGGCTCGAATGCGTCAAAATAGTTCTAGTCGATTTCTCAAAGCATCCGCCGTTTCCAAATAAGCTGCTGGTTTTAATCAGTGGGTTTTATAAGGGCTGTCCTAGTTCTTTTCCAGAAGTTCGTATAAGAGGTGATTAGTGTTTCACTTGTTTAGCGAATAAATCGGTGAGCATTAGCTGACACAAACTCCTTGATAGTGATGCGTACTTTCAAGTGACAAGTGACTACGCATTTTCATTGTATTATACAAGTTTAGCCAATATTCATCTACTTTTTCTCGCGAATTAGCATTTGTACCTTAATATGATGGTTGGTTGCAAGGATCTATACTGCCGGTCCACTAACACTGTCTTCTAATGTAAAATTTTCAAACGAACCAACTTTATAATGTTGGTTATTTTATAATCAAGGTACGACTGTTAAGTCATTGATGACGAACAGTGTACGAAGAAGCGATTTAAGCCGGGACAGGTACACTGGCAAGCGCGATCATTTTTCTTCAGGCGATAAATAGTTGGACTCAATGTGGTCTGGCACGGTTAGTGTGCTGTTTTTAAATTGAATTATGAATTAATTGATGCGCACTTAGTATTCATTGGAAGTAGTACTGCGAAATAATGTAGGAGGAAAGAAAATCGTAATTGTAGCATGTATATTTTACTCAGTCCCACTAAACATTTCCAACGACCATTTCCGCCAGACAGTTCCAACAAGCAGCTCAATCGGTCTGTCACACAGCTTTATAAGTCTGTATTGGCAATGACATCGTCACAGTAGCATAGACTGAGTTGTATTTAATAGATAGCCAACAGAATTGTGGTATTAGTGATGGTAAAAGCAACAGTGATCAGTAGGAATGTTGTTACACAGTCACTTTTTTACTACGAGCCCAGACAGCTCATGCATATGTCTACATGCCTATCTGAATATTGACAACAGATGGAAGACTCCAGGTAACTCTGCTGCTTATTGAAGGTTGCTGCCGACTAAAATGCATTTTGGTTTGGGAAAGAACTTCACAAGGTAGTTTCTGTTACGTGGTTTGAGTTTGGCGAATTTCCAGTCTTAGATGGCTTTTTGCTTATTTGACCACTTTATATATTCATTTCATCAGGAAGCATGGTATCTGTTAATAGCACCTTGTAAAACATTATTGCGTTATTGCTACACCTAATCTTTGATCATATCTCTTAGAATATTATCTGACCTAAGAAAGTATCCTTACAATACATTATACTGTCAGTAGCAACCAAGATTCCTGTTTTTTCTTGCAACTGCACTATTTAGTTGTATACAGCTACTTTGCTCCTTTAAAGTGTAGCAGCTTGAGCTGATACACTCCTCTGCAGGTTTAACGCTGATATATTTATCTGGAGCATGATTGTACAGATAGCTGTTAGTAAGAATCCAATCGGGTATTGCGGATTCGCCTTCTGTACATATTGTGGAAATTTACAGCGGTGCTATTTTGCTCTTAGATAAGTGTAAGTTAAACGCATGTAACTGAAAGATGAATATATTTACGGTAATAAATGACTGACAAAATCAACGTAGGGCCTCGCACAGCAGTGCATTGGCTCAAGTTGCCACACTTCACAAAAGTACACAAAGAACAGGCGGATAGAAAAAAGTAATATCACAGTAGATAAGTTTATGTGAGAGGACAGACAATCTGCAGACATATGTTAGTGTGAATATTTAAGCTTAAGAAGATGTCAAGGAGTGAATAAATCTGCGCCATTGTGACTGATTTTCAACCTTGTCACCAAGGGTCCTCAACCACTGATTCCTTTCATCTCCAGGACCCCAACCACGCAGTTTACATTTCGCAACACGGCTTAAGCCACCTGTCAGGGACTTCATCGACTGGTGCCAGGTCTTGGTCTGACCACCGTGAACCTTTTTCCGTACTCATGCAACTTCTAACATTACTCGTCGAAGTAGGCAGTGGCTCAGCATGCGCAGTACATGTCCAAGCCATCTCAGGTGACTAAGGTTCAAACCTCATCGATCGACTTGTCTCTCTTGTGTAGTACCTTTCACCAGACTTGAACATTGCTCACACAATGATTCCACCACACGTGAGCAATGCTACGAAGATAGCTGTAATCAAAACCTTGCAACCGCTTCATGTCGTCTACTTTTAACAGCCACATCTCATAGCTGTACAGCAAAACAGAACGGACTGCGGCACAGTATACTCGTCCTTTGACAGGTAGCCGGATATCTCTCTGACGCCACAAGTGGTGCAAGTTGGCGAATGCCAAACGGGCCTTCTGTATCCGAGGTGAGACTTCGTCAGCAACCACTCTGTTCGGACTGGTGCAACTCCCCAAGTAAAGTGAAGTCGACACATCCCACCACTTCACTCCCTATGATTAAGCTGGGAATCGTTGCTCACCAGTCCTGGAGCATCATCTTAGATTTGTCAGGTGCGAAACGCATGCCGAACTTACACAGATTTCTGCTCGAGGCGTTCAGAAGATCTTTAGTATCTGAAATACAGTACATAGCATTATTTAGAATTTCTAATGTATAGTCTAATTTTCAAAAATATGAAAACATGATAACTGAGGTAAATCTACTAGATAACAGCTTCAAAAGCGCAGCCGTCCAAAATCTGAAAACAGTTTAAACAAGCCAGATCTTGAACAAGGCAGCAAATATTAAAACCCTTCTCAAACTCATCCAAGTAGAGCGGATTAATATCTGCAATTCAGCCTACGAGAGCAGAGTGTATATTCCGTTGGTAATCTGATTGTCATATATATTTCATAAGTTTTCCGTCTCATAAGATACTTGTTCAAAATTTTTCTGACAAAGATCAGACTTTACAATAACTAATGTTTTGTTCAAAATTAGGCTTTGAATTCTAGACTACGAGAATCCGCTAAACGCCTGAATATAACTGTTGTTGAGTCGGTTTCTGAGGCTACGCATATTTTACATCAACCTCCTTCAAATTGGCCTGGCGATAGTCGAGATGATTTTCAAATTCAGCGTTTTCGAGTCATGTATCACGAAGGTCGAGGAGTTCTTCTGCACTGGTTATATTCACCTGGTTCACATACCACATGGTACACTGGTAAGTCTCTGATGATTCGTAAATTGACATTATAACCCGCAGTATTGCTAATTGACCTCAAAATTATATATTCATTAGTGTAAGCATTGAACTTTCAACTAAATGGTAGTATGAAGCAATCATATCTTTACAAGCTACAGATGTGGTTTGTAGCCTGTTATACCGACATATATATATATATATATATATATATATATATATATATATATATATATATATACGCATTAATCATCTTGGAGATATTAGAGGCTTTTATGCATGAACATCAGATTTTCCCTGGCTAATATTCTGTTTCTGATAACGTAGAAATAAAACATACATCCAGTGGCTGTATAATAACGTGCTCATTAAAGGACTTGACGGTTCTGAATCTGTTCTCTGGCTTGGATTGTGTGTGGGCGCTTCTGAGGAGTCCTAAACTAAAATAAAACATCTGTTCAATGCCATCAAGTTCTTAACAGTCCTCCAACTGATTTCAGTCGTGCACGAAAACTACTTTAAAACTATGCATCCCAACCAACCATAAGTTGAATACTCATCACTTGTTTTATACTATGATGTGACCTAGGTCTTTAATAAGTTTTTTAAGGGTTTCTCAGTCCATTTACTAGTTAATTGGTCTGTTTATATTTTGTATTGAAGGTCTACAAGTTGAATGGCCTTCTGAGGCTGAAGCACCTATAAATCCTGGAAATGGGCGTCCATGGGATGTGGATGCCCGTTGGCTTTTGTACTCAGATGAGACTTATGAATGGATGGTTGAAGAGGATTTCTTAGCACCAGCTTCTCATATCAAACCTAGACAGACGTATTCACGTAAGTTTTTGATAAAGTTTATTTCGTGAAATAAACTAAGCAATATTTTACCTTTTTTTTCGACATTGCTTTATGAAATTAACACATTTTACTACATTACTTGTTAATAACTTTATGCATTATAATATTTATCTTCATTGTAGCTATGAATTAGTGTGGAGGGTGCTGCTGATAAGAATGGATATAAGTAGTATATGTTGAGAGGGCGGCAGAAATCATATGGAATTACCAGCAGTGGGTAAGGATTCTGCCCAGAGGAACGCAAGAGACAACACGGGCGAATGAAGAGCAAAGGAGGAGAGAAGTAGAAGAGGAAATAAATCACAGTTTGCAAATGACTGTCTTAGTGCAAGGTGTACTATATTTGACGACTACTGTATCACATGTTAATAAACATTCCCTCCTTCGTCTCTGTTTTCTCGTTTCCTTCAATTGGTGTCGCTGCTTCCGGACGTGATGACGATTCCGTGGCCTGCAGTATCCGAGGATGAAGACACCAAGGTCTTCCTCAGCGATTTCGAGTCGGTCGTGGAGCTGGTGGGTGTCCAGGGTCCAGGAGCAAAGGTTGTTGTACTTGGCACGTTGCTGAGGGGTAGAACGAAAGCAGAATATGACGGCGTGGAACATGGAGACGGGAAGGAGACTTGGTAGAGAATGGTTGAATGGCTGGAGGCGGAGTTTGACAGCCCAGCGGACAGGGAGCTGGCGATGCAGCAGTTCCGGAGCACGAAACTTGGAATAGACGAAGATCCTCTGGTATTATCTGTGAACTTGACTAAACTACTTCGACGAGCACTTCCCACTTTGGATAAAGACTCTGAGACCCAGTTGCTGGCTGCACAGTTCATCGAAAGTGTCCCGAATACCGTCGCCCAACTAATACGACTAGTCAACGCAGCCCAACCCATGGATATTAGTGAGCTGGCCAAGGTCACCAGACAGCTAATGGGTACAAAAGTAGCTGCGATGGAGTCACCAGAGGTAAATAACTGGAAAAAACATTGACAACCTTCAGGAGGAGGTGACTGCACTTCGAATGAATATCAATGGACAGAGTAAATGCTTTGCATGCGAGAAACTGGGACAATGGCGAAGAAACTGTCTGGAGAGGCGAAAGAGAAAGCGTTTTGAACGACATAACATGAGTTCTGCTTTTCCGACCAGACTAGAATGCGTAGGAGCCATGGACTGGGGTGCTATGTGTGCTAGAATGCGAATAAATGATCAGAAGATCGTGTATCTAATAGATACGGGGGCGGCAGTCTCGCTAATAGATGAAAGCCAGTCTCAGAATCTTTACCCATTGCTAGTAATCCCCTAAGTTATGCTGCCCTCTCAACATATACTACTTATATCCATTCTTATCAGCAGCGCCCACTGCATTAGTACCCTGATTAATGAAAATGGTAACAGTACCTCTCTCTTTCTACAGTTTATATCTTTCAATGGCAAACCACTGATTAAAACATGACTTACCAGTAGTGCAGTTGATATAAGACGGGACGCTCAAGTGGTTAATTGTCATGCTGTCATACTGTTGTTATACTGTCTTTTTAACCATGAAATTAAATTTGATCTTGCTGACTAGCAGTAGAATCCAGGACATGCGTATCGTCACATTTGAGACTCATCAGCCGGACCTGCACTCCAGTTAGTAATTTTGTTCCCACTGAGACTCAAACCGAGAACCTATAGCTTCAAACACCAAAGCATATCCACTAGACCACTGAGGCACAAGGGTCAACGCTTCTGAAACGGGTATGAGTTATTATTTTCATACTTGTAATTCCCCATTGTTATGCAAATAGAACGAAACATGGGTCCTGGATCCCACTGCTACTCAGCAAGATGAAAACAACATGAATATCCGGTAGCATCGAGGTATCCGGATAGAAGCCCATTTGCTAACCAAAGTCGATCAGTTTGACGCTGTATATTGCGGCGGGAAATTGCAAGTGTCAGACGAAAAATTTCGCTTCGGTTGATTGATGCATAAGTAGTTGGACAAAAAGCAACTTTAGTACTTAAACAGCACAAAAGTAGTATTGGATGACTGACGTGCTATTAGATCGTTTCAGTAGATCTAAAGGAGTGTCGACTAGATATCTTTCAAACTCATTTGTTTGGCTTTTGGTGGGATGGATGATTCATAATGTTTAGTTGCTGAAATACAAGAACTATGTATTATTGTGCGAAAAAGACTCTTCAGTGACTGACAGAAAGACAGAAAGATTCATTTTGCAAAATTTGCTGAAGTCTAAAGGTCGAATAAGTGGAATATGATATTAAGTAAAAAAATGAAATTTTCCCTACGGCTGCAAACGAAACTAGTATTATCAAGTGGGTCTCTTGTTACTCAGTCACGCCTGCAGGTGAGGGCTGTCTAGCCGGGATCCTTGAGATATTGAAAATCAATGATAGGAGACTCCTAGGTATGACTCAAAGTCGATCACAATGACACGTTTTGTCATATTCAAAGTCTTGAATGTTCTCACTGAACTTCATCTTTTTGTCTTCTGTCTGACATAATTTTGTCTAGCTTCATCTCATTACTCTTCTGTCCACCTCTTTGCATAGTATTGTTAAGACTGGTAACTTGAACGGATGCATTTTTGTGTCAGGTTATGCCTTAATCTGGTTACCTGTCTTTGTCACGGATTAAAAGGTGGAAGTGTGCTATGTTTATAAACAAACTCTGCAGGCAAGTGACACATTGGCTTAAGGATCCGATTTTCAAGTAATGAATCATATTGGAGACTCTCTCCAGCTACTTCGGCTTTGCCACTAAGAAGTATCACAAGCCCCCGACACAATAAATGTAGTTACAGCCTAGTGCAGAAATATGTAATAGATTGTTGTAGGCAACCATTTTAACGTAACACTCAAAGTATTTCCGTTAGTAATCACAGCTAGTTTTTAGTACTTCTACTTAACGTGATTTGGTTTCTTTTATTTTCTGATTTCAAGCGGAGGAATTCTTGTCAATGGGTACATCACCTTCAATTGTCAGTAACACTTCATCTGCTCACTTTAACAATTCATGTGCATCAACATCTCATCTTGATAGTGGAAGTAAAAAGAAACGTCGTAGATCACCATCTCCATCAGCAATAGATTCTACTCAACTGAATGTTAGTAGTAAAAAGCGACGGCCTGGTTCATCGTTTACCAATTCTAATGAACGATCAAGTCGTGGTTCAAGTAGTCATCAAGTTTCTCGTAAAATTCGTAAAGAGGTTAGTACTAAATACTCAAAATGTCTTGTTTTTTGGTTAAACCATAAGACTAGAATTTTGTTCAGTTTTGTATATTTAGTTAGTAAATAATTTTAGGTCATAAGATGTCATAAGGTGTATTATGTAGTCTTAGTGATATAGTGGGCTGCTAAAAGTCATTTTCATGAGATGAAAAACAAATATAAAAAGAAGTAGGAGAAGTGGTACATCTTACAGAGCTAAGTGGAAGTTTTATTAATAAGGTATGTTAGGATCAAGTCTGTTTTCTAATTGAATCTAGACTTAGTAAGTGTCCTTGTCAATATTTCTTCAAAAATAGTCATTTTTCAAATGTATCCAGACAATTAATTTGATTTGATATAGCTCAGTCTAATACAAAAGTGTGTGCAACAGACTATGAGCTACACTTTTTATGATGAATTATTATACTACTCAGTTACTGCAGGTCGAAATGGGTGGCGTTGGATTAGAATCCAATCTACCCCAGGGTCACTTGGTTTAAAGTTTGAGTACTTGCGTCAGTGAGCCACACCTCCACATGTATCTGGATACAATAAAGTTATATGTGATTAATGAGATAATATAAATGTTTATTTAAAAAAAATGCAGTCTACATGCCTGTGATAAACTTCGTTTTACAACTGGGGACTGCGAGAAAGTGTATCATTGATTGCTTGTTTTGTGGTATTGTTCCCTAACTCATTGATTTAATTATTTCACTACTAATTTGTCCGTCTTAACTTTGAACTGCCTTCATGTAACGAGGTTTATGCAGTGGAACATTATCTTCAACTCTAAACGGGACAAGTATTATGTAATCTAGTACACAAGTTTGCATTCGTTTACTGAAATACATTGTTGCAATTGATTAAAAGTTTATTATCCCCCCTACGTTAAATCGTTCAAAAGTGAAACTACACTGGATACTGCAAGTTTGGGCAACCAGGTAGTAGCATCATTAGCCCTCGCACAATAGATGCAGCTCATTACTTACTGCATGAGTGTGCACAAGGTTGGCTGAGTGCATTTCGATTCCTATTATTATTATTATTACTATTATTATTATTATTATTATTATTATTATTATTATTATTATTATTATTATTATTTCCTTGGGTTCCTAGTGGAACACAGGGCTTCAGTAGCACGCCTCCATTGCACTCTCTTCTCTTCAGTCTTTTAAACCTCACTCCACGACTGCCCACAAGTTTTCATTTCTTCGTAACATGATCTCCTCCATGTCACCCTCCCCTCGTTTCCCATTTGGGTTCCACCCGACGACCTGGCCTGGTCTGGCGCATGATGTCCCCAAATGGTTTTCTCAGTTGTATGACCAATCCAATCCGTCTCCACTTTCCTCTGCATATCTGTCGGGTGATAGGTTTTCGGTTGGTTCGTGGCCAGCCAGAGTTCCTTGTTGCTTATTCTCATTATTGTGGCCATCTGATCTTCAGTATCGAGCCAGCGTATGCAGTTGTTGATGAATATCTGTAGTTTGTTGAAAATGCTTTTCGTGACGCGCCAAGTGTGTGAGCCATATAGAAGCACTGACTTGACTGACTTGGTGTTGGAAATCCGAATGTTGTTCACGCTGTATGCTGACTGCAGAAGATCTCCACACTGGTTTCAAGTTAATGAAGGCCTGTCTTGCTTTTCCGATCCTGGCTGCTTTGACTTCCTAGTCTATACCGCTTGTAGTTGAAACGGTGCTGCCTTGCCTAGGTAGGTGAAAGAGACCATTTACTTTAGGTTTCTCCCTTTAATGGTGATTGGTGCTTGTTGTTTGTTGGGTATCTTCATCACCTCCATCTTCTCAGCATGCATTTGAAGTTCAGTTTTCGCTGCCTCTTCTATACTACTTATAAACAAGGAGCGAAATCTTATTTCGAATTACAGATATAACTACTAGCTAATGAATGACTGTTAGCAGATTCAAAGGGATGATTGCCGTACGGTTTGGTATTAAATATGAAATAATTGGGTAGGTAGACAAATCAATGTAGAAGCAGGCACAGAAGTGCATTGATTCAATTTACCACATTTCACTGCAACATACAAAAAAGAAGTGGGTAGAAAAAGAGTTACACTAAACTGCAAGAAAGAAGAAAACAGATGGATAGGGGTTAATAAAAAAAGGTGTTCAAGACTTCAAAAATTGTATATATCTACTCCAGTGTGACCCATTTTGAGCCATATAAAAGAGAGTCTTCTATCATTGACTTCTGTCCTTTCAATTACCCTAACTGGACAGTATTACACCTCTCCACACGGCTCAAACCAACGGTCAGTGACTTTATTTCAGTCTGGCCATCTTTACTTTTCATCCAGTCTAGTTTTATTTGATTGTACATCATGCGGAAAAAAGCCGGTGACTCAGCATGCCCAACACATATCCAAACCATCTTAGTCAGCGAATGTTCACTACTTCATAGATTGACTTGCCTACTTTTTCAGTACCCTACTCCTAACTTCAACACTGCTCTCCTAGTCATTCGACTGTACGCAAATGGTGCTACAAAGACACCTGCAGTTAGAAATCTGTAACATTTTAGTATTTAACTTGGTTGTGGGTAGCAGTGAAATCCAGGATATGGAGAATTACAAATACCGACAAATAATAATAACTAAAAGCATCCTGTACAAGAGGTGGCTATCATGCCTCAGGGGTCTAGTGGATAACGCTTTGGCGTTTGAAGCCATGGGTACTAAGTTCGAACCTCAGTGGGAACAATATCACTCACTGGAGTCCAGGTGTATCCAGCTGACGAGTCCCAAATTTGACGATACACATGTCCTGGATTCCACTACTAACAACAACCAAGCTAATTATGATAATAAATATCCAGGCAATATCGGTGCATCTGCATAGAGAAGCCCATATACCAACAATGGTCGATCTGTTCGACCCAACATAACACCGGAGGATTACACGTATCAACAAATAGTAATTTTTAGTGTTTAGTTTCAAGAGCTATATCTCCTATAAGTAAGTGGGAGTTATGGGTTCATGGTATAGGTATTCAGCTACTAACCACTTTACTGGAAGCTCAACCTCTCTCAACAAACTATTCAGCCTTGATAGTTGGGTAGTGTTGTGAACCGTCACACGTCAACTGTGGCTTACAGTTGCAGTACTATACAAAATTGATATTGCACCACTAAGAATCATGTTAGTTCTTTAACAGCAAGCCTTTTATGAAATGTGGATTGTCTGAGTTTCTTCAAAGTACTTCGAATCAAGTCTGGTGTAGTTCAGCTAGACATTTAAGAAAAGTGAGTAGTTTCTTCACTATATCTTAACTGCATACAATAATTCAGTCACCTAAAATTTTCTAAGCAATATTAATAACAAAATGTCGATTCAATGAAATGAAGCTTGTAGTCCTATTAATTTACTTTTATGGTGATCGTATATCTTTTAGCCTAATTGGTCACTTTTTATCTAACCTAGTGATTTGCATTTTGTTATTTATTTATTAATTAGTTTATTTTAACACAAACTCAGTGCGACATGGATACCGAGAAGGGTATCAAACAATAAGCCGTTAAAAAAGAATTTAAACTCACTCAGTCACCTCGTCCACATCCGTGAAGTAGGCAATGAACCACACCTATTGTGTGAGGGCTAATGCTGCTACTACCTGGCCGCCTAAACCTCGATAGGTGAAGAGGGACTCGGACCCATAATCTAATGGTTTGTAGTTATCTTCCTAAATCACAGACAATGAGCACAATTCGACAGCCAGGTTATGGACCACACTTAGGGCTCAGAGTCCATTTGCAGACCATGTATTGCGTAACCAACAAGCTACAGCTCCACAGTTAAGAAGAACTCCTTCCTAAGATAGAAGAAACGCAAGGGAATAAGTTTACCACTGGTTGTTTTTAACTTAAACCCTATATTTAGTTGTTTGACTATTGAAAACTTTTCAATTTCATCTTGTTTGGTCTTAAATCCTCATCGAATTTTTGTTAAAATGTAATCGAAGATTCGCCGTCATAGTGCAATTTGATGAGTTTAATTTAAGTGGTTAGAGGCAATCAGCTGATCAGCGTCTAGGACCAGACAACATCAGATTGATTACTCACCGGAGACTAATCAGTTTATGTGATCCATGCACGTAGGATGTCAATCCTCATCTGAGTAGCTCAGTGGCTAAGTCTCTAACTGCAGCACTGGGTGAAAACGGTTTAGGTTTCTGAGGTGACTTCAGTCCCCTCAAGGTTGCAGCTACGCCTTGTCGACGCGGGTCAACAAGCACAAAACTTAGGTAGGGATTCCTGCCGATTATTTCCAACCACCTTATATATATATATATATATATATATATATATATATATATAGTCATTCTGACTATCTGAGTCTGCCATGGTTTGGTAGATGTGTACTTATACTGGGTGGTGATTTAAAAAAAAGGAAATTTTGACAGTGGCAGGATTCGAACCAGTGACCACCGGGTTTTGCGCCTGGTGGCCTACTAACTCAGCCACGAAACCCAACTGGTAACCAAATTTTTATTTCACTTCAATCGTCAATGTTTTTTTGCCTAATCAGGACTTCTTGTCCCAATCCTAATCTACTTGAATGAGGCGGGGGGGGGGAGGGGAAGAATCAGATTGTGTATCGTTTTGACTATCTGAATGACAAAGCTGTGGTTTGGCAGGCTTATATATATATATATGCATTTCTACATCGTGACCTTTTATGTAGGCTATTGTAACCTTATTTCGGTATACGGTAAGTTTTGTTTTGTTGATGTTTAACGCCTGTTTAGCTAAGCGCTCTTCCTTTTGTTTGTTTTTGAATGTTGTGTTTTACTAAACTATGCTGTGTTATTCCCTTCTTTTGGCTTTTATTCACCGTTAAATAGATTTTTTAATTTACTGTTAAGTAGGGTTTATGCTGTAGAATTAACTCAACAATACTATTAAAGATGTTAAATATTTAGTAGTAGTTAGTTTGTTTTACCGAATGAGTTTGTGCGTTTTCGATGTGCTCCTGTAACTTGAATTTAGCTTTAAATTCAATTTTCAATTTTCATCTTTAATACAGACTAAAAAGTTTATAACAAGCCACATGTTATGCGTAACAAGTCAACTGATTTTTTATATATTTAATTGAACAGTATTCTTATACTGACTTGGTGTACATAGTTAGAGAGTAACTGGAGGCGTGAAAGAAGCAGTCAAACATCTACACACCTTATTGGACTGATTGAAGTGCTTCAACACTTAGAAGTTGAATAAATTCGACTCAGTAACTGCATAAATATATGTGAGTAATTATTATTAGTCCCTTGGGTTCCTAATGGAACATAGGGCTTCAGTAGCACGTCTCCAGTGAACTCTGTTCTCTGAAATCTTTTGAACCTGGCTTTACGACAGCCCAGAAGCTCTCATTTCCTCCTCGTACGATCTCCTCCATGTCATCCTCGGACGTCCAACTCGTCGCTTCCCATGGGGACTCCACTCGAGTGCCTGAAGCGTGATGTCCCCAGTGAGTAATAGCGAACCATATTATTCATCTACTCAAATCATGACGGGTTCACACGTATAACTCATCGACTACGAGTCAAGCATTCGTAACATTTATTAACCTGTATTCTTGTCAATAGAGATAACCAAGTGACTACCTACAGCTACTATGCGAAAAGATGGGAACAAGCTAGCACACTTTAAATTTTAATTATTTCTCCTGATTTCTCTATCATGGATGAGATTCTGTATAGAATTAAATCTGTCTGCAGTTATGACATCTTAGGTTGGAGTAAGTGATGGCTTACAACTCACCGTAACCATTTGCGTGTGCGTGTAATGCGCAATCAGACCTCCCCCTCTTGTGCGATTGATAATGATACTACTACTTAGTTGTTCAGATCTCGGTGGATTGACTAGTATTCGAACTCATCACTCATTGGTTGAAAATAATGTACCTAGACTAGTGGGCTGCAATTCGCTAGTAAGTAAACAAAAATTCGCCACTCTATTATTTCTTTCTCCTAAACAATGTCTCCTTAGTATGGCTGAAAGTAGCTGATCCCTTAGCTTTACCTAAGCATTTTGTTAACGAATAGATATTTATCTTGCACTTCATTACAAAGTATATAAGTTCAGAGGCGACTGTTTACTATTTGGCGTTATCATGATTCCAATTTTATCCTTAATTACGATCGTTTTCGTCGTTGTGTTTAAGGCTACTTACGGTTAGTAAGAACTTTGAGATATACACTGCCATGTTGAGACTGCTTTTTTCGTGTAAATCCAGCAAATGAAAGTCGGCGCCTGGTGATTTTGTGCAATCAAATCCCTAGTTACTGGTTGGAACTCTACTCCACTTTCTTAAAGTTTGGATAACCCAATCGTATCACTAGTCTTATCAATAAATCATCTAGTCCATGTTTTTTGTTGTGATTATTGAGTTGATGAAGCATTCTATTGAAATTTTTAAGATTATGTTGAATGTTTAGTTTTTAAAATTTTTACTTTATGATCTACTTATTTTTGTCCATGCTGTAACAACTTTACTTTTTCACTCAAGGATGAAGATGAGTCTTCTTGTCACACTGGTCCACCAGATCCCAGCAAAGAGGATACTAATGACACCGATATTACAAAAGATTTTGATGATCCTGAACCGCCTAACAAAGTCACACCAATCACACCACCAAATGGTTCTGCAGCATCGGGATTCAATGCATCACGACCAACACGAACTAGTAATAACGCTTCGCATGGCGGTGACTTTGGAACTGGAAGGTCTCTTTTGATCTGGATGAGGATAATGAAACAGGTGATGGTATAGATGGAGGAATAAATGAATATCATACTGGAATAAGTGGAGGTAATACACTAGTAACATAACCGTATGTATTCTGTTCTGTTTCTGTTGTTACAATGAAATAACCGATTTCTCGCTAGGTACATTGGTTCTGTTTATATGCATACCTTGATCAAACATCTGACGGATTTTACTGATCTGTTTCATTCTCAAGCAGTTCCGTATACATTCAATCGTAACGGTTTGTTACGTAATAGAGAAGACTCTTAGCTCACTATGTAGATGACAATGGTTTGATTTTTCTCTTATCTTCGATATTTGATCGTAAACGTTTTATCAACGAGCTCGGTGCTAACGTCAACACTAGTCCCATGCATCAAGTGCTGATGATATCAAGCCAGGTAAAGAAAAATTCACAACCAAATGTCAAGGTTCTTCGAGGAGAAAACTTCTGTCAGTTCTTAAGGTCTACTGTCCAATGCTGTTATGAGATATCCTGATCTGTAAAGTTATATGTTGCTATTGAAATAGTTGACAAAACTTCTGTAGATTGATGGTAAATATATCTGTATTCTACCATCTAATGGAAAGCGATGTGACCTGTCTTAAATTTACATAACCATCGCATACTTTTCACTGTCGAGATGAAATATTTGACGATTTGTCTGAGTTGTGTAGGATAATTTAGACTCCCTGGTTGGGGTCCGCGTGACAACAGAAACCGGTGCTTAGAGACTCTAAGTGATATGACTCGGAATCGGTCTCAGTGGCGCCGTTTTATCTACACATTATCTTTATCGAAAGCGGGAGAGATTGGGAAACTATCAGCGTTAGTTAATACTCAGCATCTATTTAGGTTTACTTAGCATACCGGCAAAATGAAAACGATAGTGAAAATACGACCAAAAAGGATGGTACTCTGATAACCTCCCAGGACAGATGGATAAAACGTTGTTAAGGGGCTGGAACACTTTGGAGCACAGTTCAACTGATCCTCAGCAACACTTCAGTTGCCCAGCCTTCCGCTTCGAACCTGGATGAGACGTAGATGTCGGTCCTCCGACTCTCATCGAAGTTGAGAAGGCTGTATCAAACCTGAAGTGATCCAAAGCATCAGGACCTAACAGTTTGCCACCCGAAGTTTTCAAGAACTGGGGTAGGAAATCGCTGATTAAAGTGACGGAATTACTAGGTAGTGTATTGGAATCAAAGGTAGTGCCGTCAGACTGGTTCACCTCACTGATCATCTCAGTCTACAAGAAAGGAGAAATCTTGTGACAACCATAAGGGAATTAGTAGGACTAATGTTTTGTCCAAGATCCTAAGTTTCACAGGGATATAACGCATAACTGGAGCACAGGAACAGCAAACTTGAGAAAACTAGGCAGGTTCAGACTTGTACTAGGGTGCATCAATCTTGTTTTTACCCTCCGACAGGTTCTGGAATACAGGGGTACTTACTGGTCAATAGCCGACATGTTTCTTGACCTGAAGACGGCATTTGACTGTGTCTATCGTGAGGTGTTGTGGCATTGTCTGACTGTAAAGGGAGTACCGAGCAAGTGTATGACTTTTATCAAAGCTGTCCATTCGAACTCGCGCAGTTGTGTCACTGCTTATGGAGGGTTGTCATGGGAATTGACGACAACTAGTGGTATCCACCAAAGATGTACACTGTTACCGTTCCTGTTTAACCTCATTCTAGACGTACTGAGGGACATAATAGATATACCTGACTTCACAGGGATCGATCTAATCCCTGGAGGTCATCTGGTTGACTTGGAGTATCTAGACGATAATGTCGTGTTAGGTGAAGACGCTGTTGCGATGCAGGGTCTTCTGAACGCGGTGGACAGAAATCTGAGTATGTTTCGCGTGCGGTTTTCTGGCACCTTTTCAAATGTAAGATAATGCTCCAAGATTGGTCTGGAACCACGCTCTGTTTAATGATAGAGATTGAAGTGTTGGAATGCATCGAGCACTTCACTTGCGGAGTTGCATCAGCCCAAAGAGGCTGGTTGCTGACGAAATCTCAGCTCAGATACAGAAGGTGCGTTTGACATTTACCAACTTGCGTCGTCTCTGGTGCTGACTGGCAAGATATTCGACTGTTTATCAAGGGACGAGTATACTGCTCTGCAGTTCGTTCTGTCGTGTTGTACGGCGGTGAGACATATCCCTTAAAAGTGGAACACATAAAGCGATTACAGGGTTTTGATTACAGGTGTTTTCGTAGCACTACTCGCGTTTGGTGGGATCACCATGTGAGTAATGTTGAGGTCAGGCGAAGGGTACAAGGTAAGATAGGCAAATAGATTGATAAGGTTGTGAGTTTCGGTCGACTGAGATGTCTTGGACATGCCTGCGCATGTCGAGCCGCTAGGGAAATTTGGATTAGGTTGGAAGAGGGTTCAGATTGGCGAGATCAAGACGTGCCACCAGTCGATGAAGTTCCTGACTGTTGATTTGAGCCGTGTGGAGAGATGTAGACTACTTTACCGGAGTCCCTGGAACGGTAGGAATAAGTGGTTGGGTACTTTGGTGACATAGCTGAAAATCGGTGGGAATAGCGCAGATGTATTCAGCCTCTGACGTCTTCTTAATCTTGAACATCTGCACTAACTCGTTTTCTTCGAATTGTTTATTCTCTCATACAACTTTGTCTACTTTGATATGATGTTTTCCCATCCACCTATTCTTTGTAAACTACTGTGAAGTGTGGCAACTTGAGGTTAATGTACGTGTGTGCGAGGTACTGTGTTGATTTTATCAGTCAGTATCCTAATCGTCCTACTGAATTCAGCATTTTCTTTTTCTTCCTTATTATTTTGTCACGACCTTCGACCACCTATAACTGCTATCTTCTCTATGACTTTATCTTTCATCGGTTCATCGTTAAAGGTGTTAGCGTTGACTGACTACCAACTATCTGTGCGATAATATTCTCAGGCTCCTTCGAACGTAATCCTAATTCGGTTAATATTGCATGCCAACGTAGGCGTTGTCACGGCATATACAAATATGTTTATGTTTATATGAATCTGTATACACAAATACCAACATTAAGTGAAAGTTGACACAAGAGGAAATACAAAGACAATGGTTAGTAAATGTACATAATAATGTATTTTAACCGAATTTTAGGTGGTGTTTGTTTTTCAAAGACCTAACTGTGAATGACTATCAGAACAGCATGTAGTTTAGTTGTTCATGTAATAATATAGTAAAATAGACTATAGCTCCACTGATCTAAGTACTCAATTTTCAACCAATGGGTTGTTGGTTTGATCCCCACCCAGCCTACCGAAGTTTGAGTAGCGCTCACATCACAGACATGTGTGGGTGAGGCTAAATGTTATCCTCAGGTGTTATCGTGTTCATCATAGGTTGTAGGGTTGTTTTGAAAATATGAACATTTTCTGCGTTCTGTACAAATATTTTATTTCTTTGCGTAGATTTCACAATGCAGTCTGTCAAACTGTATATTCCTGTGTAGTGTTGGGTACACTTCCACTTCCTCATCGGAAGTGGCAGTTAGTTGAGGCTTGAAATTGCATTCAAAGGGATCTATGATTACATTTTTCACCTCGGAAGAAATGCATACAGAGCACATAGAATACATATTTTCATACAAATTGCCTAAACACCTAGTTGTTCTCTATGTCCATATCATGTGACTGACTAAGTTGCTATATCTATCAACTTCTTATCCGATATGAAGAAAGAAAAAAAAACTCATTGAAGGATTGTTATATATTCCGAACGGATATAATACGCACACTTTTAACTGACAGATAACTCCGTACGCAAGAGCCACCGACTACACCCCGGGACAAGGTGAGAAGGAGACCGATGCTGAATGGGAGAGTTGATTCCTCCGAGAATAATAATTAATTCAAAAAACACGTGAGTATGTATACACATGAAATATGACCTTGTCCTCGAATTGATACAGTAACATAGTAAGAGTAAGGGTTAACCAGTCAACGAGTTACATTAGAAATAAGGCAGAAAATAAACCACTAATCATGGTTTAAAAATGATGTGAAAATGACCAATGATGTTCAGATCAATAACAATATTTTATGCAAGACCAGGGCCTTCTGACAAGAATAAAGTGAAATACACTAGGTGTCATCTAATGATGATTATACACATTTTTCAAACCATATTTACAAATTGTCATTATTGTTGTTGATATTTCTTTTTCTTCATAAGTTGGAGATTTAGGTTCTACCAGTTGTGGTGGTCAAGGTGATGAAAGCCGACCAGGTGCTATACATACTGATTTAAGCGTAACGGAACAAGCTCATTGCATTGTTATCCCATCTTATTCTGCATGGTTCGATTATAATGCTATACATGGGATTGAACGTCGTGCATTGCCTGAATTTTTCAATGGTCAGAATAAAAGTAAAACACCAGAAGTTTATTTAGCCTATCGTAACTTTATGGTGGATACATATCGTTTAAATCCACAGGTAATTTTTAATTGATGATTCATTTCAACTAGCCTATGTATTGTCTTTTGATTACATTACAAATATATTCACTCACTCGACTTTTAACTAGTGTTTCAGAGGTCAGAAACCTACTTCACCCTCTGAGAGAGGTTTGGACAGTCAATTAGTAATCATTGAACATCACACTATAAGTATGGGTTATTGCCTACTGCATTGACGTGCACATGATTGGTGAATTTCATTTTGACCTTTACATTGACCTAGCAACTTTGCGTTGACGATGTATCATTTCACGTAAGCAAATTATAAAGGTTCTTTTCATCATGGATTAAACACCAAAGGATGATTGATTGTGAACACTCACATCGTGTTATAACATTATGAGAATCCCCTACTGTTACATGTGACGTAACCTCATATATTCTGACTTAGGCCTCTAGAGTATCGCAATATTTTTAGGAGTTACAAGAAGTTGACCACATCTAATGAATTTTGTTTAACAAGTATACTAACTCCATGATTAAGACGGTATTAATTAATACACACTCTACTTATGATAGGGAACATAAATGTACATAGAGGTTATGGGAGATTTAAAGCTGTAGAGTTCTTTGGAAAAGCTTTGTTATGCTCAACGAGACTGTGATAATTCCTTGTCTTCTTTTTCTATTTCTTCATCACTCGAGTTTATTGTCCACCTAATTCACTTTAGGTTCTTTCTCATATATATCTGCTGTTGTACATTGATTAAGCACTAAACAGTAGCAGATTTCATGTTGTGTAGTCCTGAGGGCTGAGCGAATTTTGTCGGTCATTTTGAAAAGCGGCCATCAAGCTAGGAGACTGACCATCTCAGTGCACTTTGATGGATGTTAGTTAGTTGGAGACGATCGACAACAGGCCCTGAACCGAAGTTTCGTGCTTACTGGTACTCGTCAGCCAGGTATATCTGCAACCTTGAGGGAGGTAATATCCCCTGTGAGATTTTAACTTCCGTGACCCAGTGTTGCAGTCACTGACGTTACTACTGAGATATTCAGGCCTCCTGTGCAATAGGGTTAGATAGACTGACTAGTCACTAGAGAGTAACCAATTTTATACTGTCTGGTCCTGTGTACTGATTGAATTCTATTGGCTTTTAAGCAGTCTGGAGATATTTCGTAGTTAAAATTAGATGGAGGAAAAATATTTCTTAATTGTTTACTTTGTGGAATATCTTGTTGTCAATCTGGAAAGCTTATTTACCTTCTGCTTGTTAAAACTCATCATTTGGTGTTAGATGTTGGAGTCAGTCAGTAGGCAACTCTGAACTTACGTTTTGTGCTTGTCAGCACTCATTAGAAAGGTGTTTCTGAAGTCACACAGAAACTAATGTTCCCTGGGTGATATGAACCTGAATCATTCACTATTGAAATGGGAGACTTCACCACTAAACCACCGAGGTCGCTACTCACCGTCGAGGCAGACGCAGAATTGGACTATTTACATGTTTTTGTCACCATAAGGTGACCGATCTGATTGTCGAGTTGTTTTCAGTGCTCAGCAGTCACTGAAATTTATAGATTAAGTATATGTTGCTACCAGTATGCTAAGTGACACCACATCTCGGTAATAAACTCTCCGAATCAATCTGCAAGAATTCATGGACTAAGGCTGCGTGCTTATCATATCTAAAGTCTGTAGAGTGTCAGTTACATTTTGAATGGCTTAAATTTTGTAACTTCTTCAACACTGAGTGATGTAAGCTCAAATTCTCAAGGGAATCATCAATTTTTTAGCTGTAGTCGGAGATTACTCCTTGGCGATAGGTGCCAACGAGCAAGATACCTAAGTTCAGGTTTCCTTTCCTATTGCCTCCTAACATTAAAGAATGAAGTACAGTGCACCACAATATTGCATCATTTAGCCTATTAGTGTCCAGATTGCAAACTTGATCGATAGATTTCGGTGAGTGTTGAAAACTAATGGATTGGTCACCAGCTGGCAAATAACTCATTATCAGTGTGCTTGTACGTTGTATTTCAACCATTTATTCGATCGATTAAGAATTGAATTATAATTCACCTGACCTGGCATGATAATCATCCCTTACTCAGGCTAAATGCATCTCATCATATGTTCATCGAATTGAAATAGATGTTTATAGACTATATTAGAAAGTCGCAACTTGATTTCCTCCATGTCACCCTCCCCTCGGACGCTCAACTCGTCGTTTCCCATTTGGGTTCCACTCGACGACCTAGCCTGGTCTGGCACGTGATGTTCTCAAATGGTCTTCTCAGTGTATGCCCAATCCATCTCCACTTTCTTTCACTGCATATTTGTTGGACGATAGGTTTTTGGTTGGTTCGTAGCCAGCCAGAGTTCCTTGTTGCTTATTCTCATTAATGTGGCCATCTGATCTTCAGTATCGAGCCAGCGTATGCAGTTGTTGATGAATATCTGTAGTTTGTTGAAAATGCTTTTCGTGACGCGCCAAGTGTGTGAGCCATATAGAAGCACTGACTTGACTGACTTGGTGTTGGAAATCCGAATGTTGTTCACGCTTTACGCTGAGTGGAGTGTAGTAGATCTCCACACTGATTTCAAGTTAATGAAAACCTACCTTACTATCTTTCCGATCCTGGCTTTGACATCCTCAACTGTGACTGTACCACCTTTAGTTGAGTAGATGGTGCATTGCCTGAGTAGATGAAAAAGACAACTTCCTTTAGGTTTCTCCCGTTAATGGTGATTGGTGCTTGTTGTTGTTGGTTGGGTATCTTCATCACCTCTTTCTTTACATTCACCTGAAGGAAGTTCTGTCTTCGCTGCCTCACCTTGCCTCTTCTGCCAACTTGTTAGTCTTCGACAATGTTGAAGTACAGAGTTGACTGCCATTCTATGCTGTGTTCCATGATGTATAGCGTGGCATTGCAATTTGATCCGCATATGATTTGTACTTCTTGAATCCAGCCTGTTCCGGTTGTAGTTTTGAATCCAGCTCATTTTTAAGTCTCTTCAGGATGATGCGGCCTAGTATTTTCCTTGGGGTGGACAGGAGTATGATTCTGCGCCAGTTCTTGTAAAGACTTAGGTCTCCCTTCTTTATGAGTTTGACAAAGTAGTCCATACGATACGTGTGACTTATTGCCTACTGCGCAAACGTGCAGTTGGTTACTAAGTTGCATTTCGTTCTGTTGATATGCTAATCGAAGGTTTTCGGTGTAATAGCATAAATATCTAACTGTAACACATACAGTTGTTCTATTATCATTAAAATTGCAAATGTTTGACTTTTTTTATGTATCGTATTCATAATTATATTTTCCCATTATATATCTGCATATGATTATGAAATTCTTATTGTTTTTCTTTTAAGGAATACCTTACATTTACAGCATGCCGACGAAACCTAACTGGAGATGTTTGTTCCATACTTCGAGTTCATGCCTTCTTAGAACAGTGGGGTTTAATTAATTATCAAGTAACAGCACCTTTAACAACTTCAACTGGTGGCACTTTGGGTGTATCAGGTGGTGCAACAGAAGCTGCTCGACTTGCTGTCGCTGCAAGTCTTGGACCACCGAGTACAGCTCATTTTCATATTCTAGCTGATAGTGCTAGTGGATTACAACCAGTTGGTAATCAAAATCTTGTTGCTACCAGCTCAGTTGTTCCAACTACCAGCAGTAATAGTAGTAGTAATAGTAATATTGTTGGTACTGCAACATCAATTGACGGAGGCCAGCCTGATCCACAGAAACTACAGTCTGGTCTTACAAGTAAAGACGGGACTGCTGCTGCTTCTGCTACAATTAATAACGATGTTACTTCAATCACCAGTAATACAACTAAACCAGAGTTACAGGTAAGCTGAAAGCAAATTTCTTCAAGTATTTATTTCCTATAATTGGGGAAATATTGTGATTCAGTGATATAGAGACTTGACTCATAGTCAATACACCTGGGTTTTGGGTTTCAACCTACTCCAGTATATGCTACAATTGGGGAGAATATACATGAATGATTAAAATAATCTCAAAGGGATACATTTAATTTAATGTCTTCTGTGGAAAATGCTTTAAGCCGCGTTACAACCTTGTAATATAGAATATCTTGAGACCTTATAAGTCATATTATTCCATGTCTTTAATTGCTTCGTTTGTCTTATTAGAATTTTCTAACCACCGTTGATATTATAATTTATGTGACTTTGTTTGTTGATTTCCCCGCGTATGCTGAAATAAAATGTTTTTTTAAACCTGGATGTATACACAGTCGTTCTGGAGACCCTACTTTGCTCTTATATATATTAGAACTGGTGAGTCAAGAAGATTGAAGAACTGTCTGATGGGGAGTAGGTAGCATTTTTGACATTCACTAATCCATCTCAATCTCGAGATGTTATGCAAACCAGAATGACTGCAGAACAGGCGGAACCTTAGCTCACAAGATTCAATTATATATAACTAATCCATCAGTCTTTGACTGAGTTGTTGGTTTGAGTCAACCTGAGAATTTCTGACCTCTTGATTGACTTTATTTATTTTAACTGAAGCTCACTCCCAATAACTGTTTTGTGTAAACTTATTCTGGAGTCAACAGCAATCAAAATGTAATAGAGATATGGTTGATTGACTTGAGAACTCGACTTTTAAGGATTAGAATGCGGTTTCGAACACCCCCTTATCTATTTCGAACTGGATAGCCAGTTAGTATTATAAGCTTTCACAAAATAAATGTGGCTCATAGCCCCTAGTAGTGAACATCTGTACCGGATTAAGTAACGTCATATATGTGGTGGTACTATACACACAATAAACTGTTTGAAACTTTATTTAATCGGTACTCAAATTCTACACATTTAGTAACTTTTGTGCAAACTAACTATTGATGGTGCCTACATACATGTGTAAGGTACAGTACTCAAAACTTCAAAAAATCGACGTGGATTCTAATCTGGTTGACACTCTACGTGTGAAGATCATCGTCATCATCACTTGTCATATTCACAAACCTCATGGGACATCACCATTATAGCTAGTGATCTTACAACCTTCCTCTTGTTTGCTTTCTTAGTAATATTTCGTTCTTTTGGAAATCACTTGTTCTTCTGATGAATGCCATCATAATAATTTTCTTGAATTGATTTTTCTTAGTAGTACTTCACAGGTAGGCAATTTGTATAATATTCATTTGATACTTCTCTTTTTCCTCTCAGGGGGGTAATGAATATACTGGTACAACGATTTCGACGTCGATACCAGGGACAGCTGCATCAATAGCAATAACCAACACTACAGTTTCTATTACTATGCCAACTACAACTACGAATGCTGTTGCTACGGCTGCTGCTGCTAATACACAAGCAACAGGGGTTAATAAGTTGCCGAGTATTGGCGATCCAAATCTGCGAACAGATCAATATCTGGCCAATACAAGCATCAATAAATCTGCCTCATTAGATGGTCGTAGCCAACCAGTTACCAATTCTTCAACGATAGTTTCTTCAGACTCAACACCACAGGCTACAGTTGTCAATAATAAACTTCTCAAAGGTGCTACACAAAGTGGTTGGAGTGATCAAGAAACTTTGTTATTATTAGAGGCTTTAGAACTATATCGTGATGATTGGAATAAGGCAAGTTTAAATTAATTTTTCTGTGTACATCAATGACTTTATTCCTTGATATTATTGATTGTACTATATGGTCATTGATTGACCGAATTGATCGGTCGCTATTAACACATGAGCTCCTGCGCGGATGCCTCGATATTACCTTTGTTTTAATCATATGTATTAATGGTGGATATTGGCTAGCAGCGGAATCCAGGACGCAAGTTTCGTCCTATTTGAGACTCGTCAGCTGGATGTACCTGCACCCCACTGCTCGGTAGTCTAGCGTGTAACGCTGTGGCGTTTGAAGTGATCGGTCCCGAGTTCGAGTCCCGACTGGAACAACACTTAGTGAGTGTAAGCACATCTAGCTGACGAATCCCAAATAGGACGATACGCGTGTCCTGGATTCCACTGCTAGCCAATATCCACCAGTAATTTATATGACTTTATTTCTTGTTCAAAACCTTTATCTAGGTAGTGTAAGATCATGGATTCGAAACCCCCCAATTTCCTACCTCAGCTTACTTTCAGAAGAACATGTTGTTTCTGTGGTTTACGCTTTTAGTATAAATAAACTTACGTTTTGGCCTTGAGCGATGCTAATTGCAACCGTTTCCATATCGAAGTAGAGCTTGGTACCACTGCGTAATGGTTCGAGTTGCCACTTTTCGCACATGCACATCAAGGTATAGTGCATCGAGGTGAAAGGCAGGAACAAGAATACAAAAATGATAAGAGTGGAGTAGAGGTAAAGGATGTAACGGAGTACGATATGATGATTAGAACGAAGATAATGTGTAGATGCATCTGCACCAGTGCCATCGATTTTGAGCTACATTATGCAGAGTCTCCAGCCATGGGAGGCGCAACTTCAAAGTCTACATTTCCCCTACACAGCTTAAAGCAATAGTCAGAAACTTCATAGACTGATGTCATGTCTTACTTTAATCGCCTTTGACATTTTCCCAACCTAAACCTACGTTAGGTAATTTTTCGCATTCAGGTAGACGACAACTAAGCATAATTAAAACGTATTCCAACCACCTAAGTCGATGAAAGGTCACAACTTCATCAAGGGATGTGTTTCTTTTACCCAGGACTATGCCTTACCTCTAAGTTGCTAATTTGTTGATGCCGAATAACGTCTGGAGTGTTCGAATTGGATGTTAAAAGCCTAAGTTTAGGCACTTAGCTTTACATGGCAATGGTTATTACATGAGTAAATTCATATATTACCACATGTGGAGCTGTGGCTCATTAGTTTGGGTAGCTGACTTTCGGCTAGTGAGTCACTTGTCCGGACACTGCATCTCCTACCTAGGTTTGGTCAGCCACGTAGTATCATTTACCCTCAGGCAATAGACATAACTCCTTGCATACTGCACACGATTGCTACTAATACCGCCACCACAACTAATATTCTCACATCTTTCTAAAGTGGCAGTGATGTTCGTTTAGTTTTTATCCGATAAAAAAGTGTTTTTTCCCCCCATTTATTCTAGGTTGCTGAGCATGTTGGTAGTCGAACGCAAGAAGAGTGTATTCTTCATTTCCTCCGTTTGCCTATTGAAGATGCCTATCTAGAAGGCTCAGATCCAATATTGAATTTAACATCTCTGGCAAATTCAAGTCACCCTACACCACCGTTTTCAAAGGCTGCAAATCCAATTTTATCTACAGTCGCATTTTTAGCCGCTGCTGTAGATCCTCGAGTAGCTGCAGCAGCAGCTCAAGCGGCACTCACTGAATATGCTAAAATGCGAGATGAAGTCCCCGCAGGTTTATTGCGAGAGCATAAAGCACGCGTTGAAGCTGCTGTGAAATTAGGCCATCAAGTTGATCCACAAAAATTCGGTTTAGATGAAGTTGGTGGGAGTAAAATCAGTGACACTGAGAAACTTTCTAAACCGACCGGTCTGGCTGCAGCTACTGTTACTGCTGCCTCTACCGTTGTCAATGCAGAGAAACCAGTTGAACAAGTGTTAGTCGACAATGAAGTAAAAGAAACTGATCGTAAAGTAAGTTTGAAGGAGAATCTACTTTTTGGGAATCATCATTAATTTAACAACATTATTTATTTGTTTGTTTTAAACACAAACTCGATACAACACGGTTACCAAGATGTGGATCATCGCGCAACTCATTGCCATGGTTGTTGACTTACCAGACTGTGAGATATATTTTATATATGAGCAGTGCAACCGAAAGACAAGGGAATCCAGCTTTCTAACCCTGATAGTAGTCACTGTTGTTGAAGCAGTCCGAAGAGAGATGGTGTGCTTAGCCTTGGGAAAGTAGACGGTATTTAGTTCGGAATGCCCAGGTGTCGTTTGCTCTAACTTTGCCCCTAAGGGTAGCCTCGGATCGGCCTCCGTTTATGAAATTTTGGTGAGAGGGAGGATAATCTCTTATGAAGGTGAACTTCATCTCTTCTACAAGATTGTGAAAACTCAGTATGGCGTATCCCACGCACATATGCTCATGGGTAGGTGAGTGTGTTCGAGCGATTCGACTGCTCGGCGAATATGGGTGCGTTGAAGCCTGACAGTTAGGAGGGTTTTGGGGTTACACTGATCAGTTTTGGGAAATCTGAGAATGCTTGACATACGTTTCTCAGCCGTCAGGTATATAATAAAGCTTCATAATGTGACTGTCACTCTATATGTTCTCGAGTTCACTTTGATAATGATGTGTATCTACTCAGCTGCAGATTAAACTGGAAGGCCGGACCTCACATGTCTGTTAAGCAGTTGGATACAATCGATTCACTATGATTTATTGGTGACTGTCCCAATGTCTAACTTAAATGAATGTCAAGAGATTTAACTGTTAACCAACTGACCGTGTAATTATAATCCAATAATGCCAATGAGTGAAGAACAATCAGACATTAACAACTTGGAACCTAGCAATCTTGCGTAATGGTCTAAGTTGACACACGTCGCGTTATCACGTCAGAGTGGAAGTCACCGAAATTGAAGATAGAGAAAAGCGGTAAAAGGTAACCCAAAGTAGTGATGACTAGAATGAGGTAAATGTATGGATGCATCTCTGCTACTGAGATCATTTCTAAGGCATAGCACCTAGAGTTTCCACGCTCACCCCAACGATGAAATGTAAGTTCCATGATACGGTGACTCACATTAACAGTTAGAGACTCTATGAACTGACGCCACGTTTTAATCTGTCTGATTTAACTATTTTTCCAGCTTAAACCTACTTCAGCTTACAGTATGCGACGAGGTAGACCATGACTAGACATTCACATTTCAGTATAAGGGTTTTTTTATTATATGATACCGTCGTTGATTGGATCGAATTGATCGGTCTCTATTGGCATATGGGCTCCTGTGTGGATGCCTCAATATTGCCAGCAATCTGATTATGTTAAGGATGGGTCGTGGCTAGCAGTGAAATTCAGGATGCGCATTTCGTCCTACTTGGGACTAGTCAGCTGGATGTACCTGCTTCTCGGTGAGTGATGTTGTTCCCCCCAAAAAACCCTTATGCTAAAAACTATACCCGTCGCACAAGAAGTGGCTATCGTGGCTCGTTGGTTCAGTGGATAACGCGCTGGCGTTTGAAGCGATCACTCCCGAGTTCTAATCCCGGTGGGAACAACATCACTCACTGGGAAGCAGGTACATCCAGCTGACGAGTGCCAAATAGAATGAAATGCGCATCCTGGATTCCACTGCTAGCCACGATCCATCCCTAACATTCACATTTCATATTCTAACGTTTTATGTCGATAAGTGTTCACAACCTCGTCAAGTAACATACCTATTTTACTGAAGACTCTATGCCCTAACTTCTACGTTACTAACATAAAGATCCAAGAACACTATTAAACGAAGATTACTACCTATATATAAAAATATGATGGGTAAAATAAGTATAGTTTGACATTTAGACAACAAATATCCAGTATATTAGAAAATTCTTGTCAGTAGATGTAAGATGTTAGTTTTGCCCACTGTAGCACTTCATGACCAATTTCCAGCGATACTTATTTTGAAGATAGAAATGATAGGAGGTAGTTGACTTCACTATTTGCTTGACTTTATTAGTGGTGTTTAATATCATCAAAATGATAGAAAATGAAACACACTTAGCTACCTTGTGCACATTTGTGCAGTAGACAATAAGTTATCTCTCTAAACCCCTGAGTCATATCTCCTTAAACATCAAGTTGATATCTGTAAAGATCTCAGTAGAAGTACACAGATACATTTAGCGTTTATCATCCTATGCTTTCTCTATCATCTTGTATATCACTTCGCAATGCCCTATTGATTATTTGTAGATATTGCATTACTCAGTCTATCCCTCTTGTTCTGTTCTATTCATCCTATTTTTATGATAATTTCTACTCATTTCTGTTAACTTTTTTGCTATGTATTACGTTACGTTAGGAATTGTGGAGAAACCTGAATGGATGATATACATTTAGTTCCCTTGACAAATTTGAATAATGCAAGAACAAAGATATTTGCAGGATAAAATGAGCTCATCATCATCAGCTGCAAACAGCCTACAATTGAAATGAATTATTAGTAGTAATAATGGCATAAAATACTTTACATATATGTAGTTATTAATGAAGATCTGAAATCTAGGATTAACAATAAAGGTAGTAAGTCAAGGAAATACAGGACTGATAGTTACATATCTTAGTCGAAATCTATGGCTATGTATATCTGATGAGATAGGAAATTCTGGAGCTGTGGAGTGGGGGGTGGGGGTGGAGAGGCAACAAATGAAAATCAGTGTAAAAGGAGGGACTGTTAAAAGCTGATAGGTTGCGTAGTTACATGAAAAGCTTGAAAATCGTTAGGTGATTAATATTCAGTAAGTAATGAATGAAGAGATGATGGAATCAAAAGAAAAAGGAAGACCGTATACATAAACATGCAAAAAATTACATACATTTATCAAGGTAAAGAAAGGTTAATTACAGTCTCCTTCTGAGTACATAGGTCAGGTTGAAAATGTTTGATAGCGAAAGCTTCCGCAAATCGTGATAAACATGATATCCTTTGTTTGTTGATTATCCTGAAGGATTGAGAAACATCTACTTCACTTCATGTTTCCATGAGGTAGGTGGCTGGGGATTGCGCTCTTAAAAGATCTTGCTACCATTCAGGAACAGATTTCTTGGAATATGTTCATAAAATCTAGTAGATGCCCTTCTTTCGGTCTGTTTTATGTACTTGCTTCCACCAACACAGGTGAATTGATATACACTGTTGGAGGTAGGTGAGTTAAGATGGATACTTGTCTAGTTTTGACTGTGTTATTGAGCATACTGTATTGTAAACTGAGATCAGTCTGGCAGTATGGGGGCTTCTGCTCAGTACAGCTTTTGTTCTCCTATCTATTCTTTCAGTTTTCTCATCACGTTTGAATGCTAGACGAAGGAAAACAGGCTTCTTCTCAATAGTTGAGTGTTTCAGTCACTCAATAAATTCTTTTCCATGCTTCATGATGAATTTCTTCGGATATCCATCTTCTATAAGAACTTTCTCAGTTATATCAAATTTTTCTTGTTTATCTTTAGTGGGCAGCGTTTTTATTCTAGTGAATAGCGTCCTGACTAAACCCCGCTTATACTTAGATTCAAAAAATAGATGAGTTCTGTTTTTTGAGTTCTACTTCATTTCCCTATTCACCTTTCATACTATCTGTCTGATATCTTCATTAATGTTTATTATCGTGGACCGATTCGAATGAAACTTATCACACACACACACACACACCTGGATGAAATTTGTCTCGCACCTACCGCGTTAGCGTAATCTTCGTGTCGTCATCGATTTTCAGATATTTGACTTAGTAGCATACAACTATTGCTAATAAACGTTCAAGAGATAATTGATTGTTGCAAGGATCTTCCTTTTCCCAGTGTATCTCAGTAGTCGAGGACTCTTGGTGACATGGTTGAAAGTCGGCCAGTCACAGTGGTCTTCTAAAGCTTGAATATTCCCACTAACCTTTATCTTCAAATCGCTTACTCTCTCACACAACTTTGTTGCAACCTGAATTGACGCACTTGTGTAGAAGGTTCTACGTTGATTTCATCTGTCTGTCATAAGGTATGGTAACGAGATTGACATAGCTTATTATGTGTTTGCATGCTAAAATAGAGCAAAAATAGCGCGTAAACTGCATTTTTTTGTATTCTGTTTTTATATCTTTATGCATTCACCTATTTCTATTCTATTCAGGAAAATGTTCCTTTGGATCCCGCCACCACTACCATGGATGATTTAACCGATGAAAATAAATTATGCAAAAGTCCTGGAACTGTAGTCTCGAAATTCGAAGAATGTAAAATGGAAATTGATGAAAGTCAAGAAATTACTACTACTACTACTGCCGCTGTAGATGTTAGTAAAACTGAACCAGTAATCATTACTGGGCAACAAGAGACTCCCGGTGAAATTGATGCTCGTGTATCTGATGAAGTTACAAGAATCACTCAACTGAAACGTGATGAAACACAACCAACTGCCATTATATCTGAACAGACACCTCAACTCATCCATTCAGACACAACTACAACACCGACCACTGTTACCACAACTGTATCAACTGTACAAGATTCGGAGAAGTTGACTGACCAACCGCAGACAACAAATGAAAAGGTGTCTACAAACTCATTACCACCAAATCCAGATAGTTTAGGCACAGCTGCAGCTTGTGCCTTGGCTGCAGCAGCTATTAAAGCACGTCATTTAGCTAGTGTTGAAGAGAAGCGTATTAAAGGTCTAGTCGCTCAATTAGTTGAAACACAGTTAAAGAAATTGGATATTAAACTTAAGCAAATCCAGGTAATTTTATTTCTTTTTCATCAGTAGTGTATTAGTTGGTTGTTCACTTTTGCTTTGATGCTTGAAAGATGATTGATTTTATTCGTATCGACAAAATGTTCTCTACTTCAAAGGGAATGATCTTTTCCCATGAGACTTTTTAGTCGATGATATTGTCCTGTTAAATGGATATACTGAGGAGATAAAATGTCCTCAAAATACACCGAATCATAGTTTACGAATGTTTGAAATGAGTTCTCTCTCCTTGACTTTTTCACTTACTTAGGAAGTTGACTCAGCTCTGATAGACCGGTATCCGACAAACTCTTTAAACGAATGCAACAGGCCCGATTAGCTTTTTTCAAACTACACGATTTGTGACATCAGTGTGACATCTAAATGCTCAATAAAGCTCAAGTGCACTGCATAGCATGTTGCTCTGCTCTAGCATGTGGCTGTAAAATATGATTTTTAAAGGTAGAGAACATGAAAAGATTTTAGATGTAGGACCATCATTGTTTTCCTAGCATTAATTGTGTGTCGTAGAGCAACCATCACAAATAATACAGAGATGGAGCTTAGAGTCTAAAGGTAGAAAAGAAGTAAGTCATTTGATGTAGTTGTAAACGTCTATGAACTAAAGCGGTTAATACATGTCTTCTACCAAGTCACCATTTGAAGTAGAGACAAGACAGAATGTGACAAAGTAGTTAAACCAAGACACCACCGATTTCATGAAGTATCTCCGTTTAATCTATCAAATGCGTGTTGGACGAAAATCGATGCTTAAAGATTGCTTACTCTCTCACACAACTTTATCTGTTGTGATATCACTCTTATTCTATCCACTTGTTCTTTGTATTCTACTGTGAATCGTGGCAACTTGAGGTGATGTTCCTGTGTGTGTGAGGTTCTACGTTGATTCTATCTGTCATCTTGTTGCTGGGTGTATATCTTGATGTGTGATAACTTGGACTGTTTTTTTTTTTACTCATTATTATAAAGTTCCATGTTAGTGTTGACTGACTGATTGATGTTACTGAAATTTTGAACAATACAGCCAAGAAAATAGCAAAAACAAAACCTAATAGCAACGAACTTGCATTTATTGTCAATAATGTCCTCATTGTTGACCTAAGGTTCTCATAACAAGCGACATATTCAAAGCATATTTATATATTGGTGTAAACAGTGTAGACTTCAAGTGATGGGTTACAAGTCTGAATTTCGCTTTGTCTACCAATGTTTTGACGCTGTCATATGCTGCCTACACTATAAATGTAGTTTTATAGCCCTAATACACCAACCTGAAATTGGTTGCAGAATTACATCCTATGATGTGTATTATCACTGTTTACTTACATGAAACCTAGTGTCAACATGAGTACTGAAAATGCATCACATTTTATTCACGTTACTTCTCTGGTAAGAGCAAATCATAGTTATTTGACTGGGTGTAACAGTTTTCCGTGTGGTGTACTTAGGATGCTTGATTGATTGGTGCATATTTCAATTCTTGCGTCAGTTTACAGCAAATTAGTCAATAACAGTCAACCATCAGGTACTGTGTACCTATAGATCATCTTGCTGAAAACCAAACTGAACATAACACCTGACTGTTCGTACAGAATTATGTTTGATGCATCATAACTAAGTTTCTTGTATTATCCAGGTCGCACGCTCAACTCTCACCTTCTTGTTGAACTTTACCGATAGTTAGATTGAACACAACAACCAATATATAATTTTGATCCAAATGAATGATATTGTTGGTGATCATCTACCTTTGCGGTTTAGGTTAGTGTGACATATGATTAAGTTGACTTAAAAATTTATCAATCGGCGTTATACAACCGCTAGGCAGGTGACTTTTTATGTGTACCAAATTCACAATTCTCTTTACTCCTCAAACCTTTACCATTTGGTTAATTACTAGTACATAATGTCGTGCGAACAGTAACTGATATACTTCAACAGTTGTGCTATTTACGACTGAAATTATGAATTAATATTGGCATAGTGTTATTGCTTCCACAAGAGGTAGCTATCGTGGCTTGGTGGTCTAGTAGACAACGGTTTGGCTTTCGAAGCTTCCGGTCCCGAGTTCGAGTACCGCTGGGGACAACACTTACTGGGAGGCAGGTACGTCCAACTGACGAGTCCCAAATAGGACGAAATGCACATCCTGGATTCCACTGCTAGCCACTATCCATCAATGCTGTGTGGATACTGACAAACTGCATAATCCTTATCAGCTCCAAGTAAAAGCTGTGCAGGGTAACTTTTCGACTGAATAATTCATACTGACAGAATCGTTTGGCTAATTTTCTAATCCGTATACTTCGATTATCTATTAAAGGATGAGTATACTGCCCTACAGTTTGTTCTGTCCCGTTATACGGCTGTGAAACATGGCAGTTAAAAAAAGAAAACACTAAGCGATTACAGGTTTTCGATCATAAGTACCTCCATAACATTATTCACGCATGGTGGAATCACTATGTGAGCACTGTTGAAGTCAGGTGAAGAGTTGTGGGCAAGACATAGAGGTCCAGTGATGAGGTTTGAACCTTTGTCAACTGAAATTACTTGGACATGTAGAGTCACCGCCCACCTGGACTTGCCATGTTAGAGGAAGTTGGAATGAGTTAGGAGAGGGTTCAGGGTGACTAGACCAAGGCACGGTAGCAGTCAATGAAGTCTGTGAGTGTTGGTGTGAGTCATGTGGAGAGATTTAGACTGCCTGGATTGGTTCACCGAGATGAAAGGTATCAGTGGTTGAGGACTCTTAGTGAAATGGTTGAAAATCGGCCATCCATAATGGCACATAGGTATACACTATCTGTTGTCTTCAAATTGCTCATTCTCAGACACGAATTTGTCTACTTTGGTGTCGCTCTTATTCTATCCTCCTGTTCTTTGTATTCTATTGTGAAGTGTGACAACTTGAAATGATGCATTTGTATGCGAGGTTCTACGTTTGTTTTGTCTGTCCGTCTGTCGATCTTTAGTGTGTATCCCGCTCATTAGTTTGTCCTTCAGTCTGGTGAGCCCATAGGTAATCGCTGAATCTGAATGGAGACCATGTAGGCAATCAAAAAAATCTCTCTCAACTTGAAGTAATGTAGTCTTACTAAGCGACGATGTTTAGTTTCGTTTACTAGGCAATAGAGTCACGTATAATGTGTGACGCCTAGAAACGTCTTGCCTACCCAAACCACAGTAGGTAAAGCGTTTTCCGGACTGTGACCGCAATGATTTAAAATCAAGTGTCTAGACACTGAGCTACATCTCTACAAACTTGAAGGCTGTCATTGTCTTCGTTTCCACTGTTATAAGAAGTCGACGGTATTTTACTTTGAACAACAAGTCAGGTTTTTCTATGCTGTATAGGATGCGTGAAATGAAAAGCTAGAGGAGTTTCACTGGCAATTTAATTAATCAATAACTAATCGAAAGTCTTCAGCAGTGCGCACCCACGGTCCCGCAAGGACCCGGACCCGCGATCTTCATGTTCCATAGCCAGCATGTTACTATTGAGCCACGGCCGGAATCCAGTGGTCCATATTTCCAACTTCTGTCAGTTTACGACATATCGCAACCATCATCGTTGGGTATCTGTCCTCACGACCATCAGGTTTGCCCCACTAGTCACGACTTCTCATTGGAACTTCAGGAATCACCTCGAAGATAGTCACCATTGGGCACTAGCTGTCCAGTGCTTCCAGGTTTCCAGTGTTCCTCCAACTGATGTCAGTCCATGATGAGAAAAAAAACCAACTTTGCATATCTCTGAATCCCCACAAACCCCAAATTTAATCGAAAATCATCAGGCACTCAAGGTAGCATGATTTAAAGAGAGTGAAAGCAGGAACTAGGCATCTCAGTGAATCAATAGCATCTAACTGCCTGTATTCCTTACTTCACTTCTGTTATGTTATTGTTGTATTTCTGTTTTGTTTTACAGGAGTTAGAGATTATTATGGAGAGAGAATATGAAATGATTGAACAAATGCGCCAACAACTGTTGCAAGAACGTCAAGCATTTCATATGGAAGTTATTAAAACTATGGAAAATCGTGCTAGGTCCTTAGTACATCATCACCAACAGCAGCAGCAACAACAACAACAACATGGCAGCGTTATACCTCAACAGCCACAACAATTGCAGCAGCAACACCCTCTACAACCTGTTTATGGAACTCCAGTAACTTATCCGGTTAATCAAGTCGCACATCCTAGTCAGATACAACAGCCAGGTTCTCACGTTATTCCACCACCTGGTTATCCATCTCACAACCCACCGGTGCCTAATGATGCTAGAGCAATTATAAATCCTCCTTCTACAAATCTGTCAGTTTATCCACCATCAAACTACCCATCTGCTGCCGCACCACCACCTTTACCGTCGCCAAATCAGCCACCTTCAGCTGGGCATACATCACCTACACCTACTCAACTTATTCAACATCATCCACGTGAAGAGCCTCAAACACAACCACCGCCGGCGCCACCACCTCCATCATCACATCCCACACCTAATGCTGCACCCCAGACGGAAACAGTTAGTAGTGATTCGTGGTCTGGATCTGGCTATCCAATTACCTCAGAACCTCACATTGTGCACCAACTTATTGAACCGTCAAGAGACACACCTGTGCCAAATATTACTATAACAATCTCATCTCAGAATGTAACTCCTCCTGATCCAACTTTAGCGAACATTACAATCGCCAAGCCTACACAACCCATTAGTACTGTTGTTGAGGCTGGAATTTTCGAACCTTCTAAGCATCATACTGCACCATTGTCAATAGAAATGAATTCTTGCACCGTAGCCAGCCTACTTTCCGATGAGAATAGTTCGAATATTGAAGTTCCTGATCCATGTATAACTGCGACAAGTCCACTGGTTACGGAGAATAATCCTTCTACTCCTGAATTGAGTGTTTCCAAAGAGGAAAATACAGTTCAAGCGGAATGAGTAGTCTTATGTTTCGTTTTGTTTTCAAATTGTTAACTCATCAGTTTTATGTGTTACGCTCTTTATATATATAGTTACATGTTCTAGGTAATCATTATTTACTGGTCTGTTTTTATGAAAATATTTTTCTCTCTCAAAAGTTTGTTTCTTTACTCGTTATTACTGGTAGTCCATATTCACATGTTCCTATTTCTAGTTGGATATGTGCATTTACTGGATAATGTTGCAGTTTCCCCTTGTTCTATAAATAATGATGAATAAATTTTTATGCATTATCGGGTTATAGATGACTTTCTTGCCTACTTTTTGTTTATATTTGATGACCAGACTAGATGGTGGTTTGGGCATGTATTGCGCATGCTAAGTAACCACCTTCCTAGACAGGTGTTGTAAGTCTAAATGGATCTGTTTTGGAAGAATGCTAAGGAAGCGCTCCCTAGTATGTCGCAAAGATCCATAAAGTCTCTGACCTGAACGCTGTAGGGATATATAGGCCTTGTGACCGGAGTCCTTGAGACATTAGGAATCCATGCACAACAGCATCATTTTCGAAGTTTGGAGTATTTTCACTAGCCCTTATCTAATTCTCTTCTCTCATTCACTTTTGTCAACTTTAATATCATTCTTTTTCTATCCATATATTTGCCTGCCACAGTAAAATGTGGTAACTGGACCTGATGCACTTCTGTGCTAGATTCTACGTTTGTTTTTTCATCTTCAGCGATTTTTGCTTATCATACAAACATCGAATAATTGTTTCACTAGAGCAATATTCAAAAGATACCAACTGCAGCTTCAGATAACCTATTTGTGCACTGAAGTCATTCGCAAATATGACAATGCATTTAGGAGATTCAGTCTTCTGGAACAAAATTGACAGTTTTGAATGAAACTCATCTTTTACTGTAATCAGTCGAGGGACGCTACTTATACAGCCCCAGGTCATAAGAAACTGGTCAGTGAGATATGCAAAATAAACTACATAGATATACCATTTTCACTAGAAATGGTAGACTGAATAACCGCATATTCATGTTGGTGACTAGCAGTAAAGTTTAGGACGCACATTTCGCCACATTTAGAACTCGTTAGCTAGATGTACCTGCACCCCAGTGAGTGATGTTGTTTCAAGGCCAAAACTTTATCTACTGGGGCATGAGAGTGTTGTTTGATACTCATAATTTCCTGTTGCTATTCAGCGCGGAATTGCTCGAATTCTGTTGGTAGATGGACTTCTGTGCGGAGACCTCGATACTAACGAATATTCATGTTGGCGGCTAACAGATATGTCATATCATATGTATGTCTGTCTTATAAATGCAATGTCTCAATAATATCAAAATTTTAACTATTAGAGTTTGATATCCACTTCGACATAGGTTTGGTGGTATACTGGATGTTTCGACATCGATTTCGCAATACGCTTTTTAAGCGAGTGGCAATTTTTTGGGTCCGAATCCTTTGATAATAGCTAAAAACTAAGAGGATAAAGAAGTTTGAGAAACTGTTGAATTAGCAATGTTTGAGATAATAAAGACAGAGATCTTTTTATCATTGGTGATTCTGAAGGTTTTCCTATGTACTGGAGGAAGTATGTGATTTATCTTCTCCACTGGTTAACATAACACAGTTGTATTTCTATACAATATTGAATTATTTATACCCTACATACTGTTGTCAGGTACAAAAATCATGCTCAACAACCTTATGCACATTAGTGAACTACACCTATTGTGTGAGGGCTAATGATACTTCAAAGTTTTCAATACTTTCACTAACCCTTAACTGATTCTCTCCTTTCGTTCACTTTATAAACTTTAATGTCATTTGGCCTGATATAGTTAAATCAGTTGAGCATTGTGTAAATGAATTATTTTCTAAAAAAAAGTATTTTTATAATCTGAATGAGGTGAAAAAATAAACTTCTGATGTTTCTTGACCTTGTTGACGTCTTTTCTCTGAATAAGCGAATAATGAATAGTATATTGAGATGCTGATAAAGTAGGTTTGCAATAAAATTTCAAAAAAGAGTCTTCCGGTTGTCAAGATGTATCTATCTGCCAACCAACATGTGGTTTATTAGTCTATGCATTCAACTTTTAACCACTTGGTCATGGGTTCGAATCCTGCTCCCAATACCGAGTTTCGGGTGGCCAGATAGTAGAATTGAGCTTCACAGAATAAGTGCTGCTCATTGCATGCCTACTGCTCATCGATATGAAGTAAATTTTTAGGAGAGATCGATAATAGATAGACCTGCCTTATTTTAAGCTATGTTACCTATAGTCTCTATAATTTTATGGAACTCAACATCTAAAACCATTGGATCAATGACTTCCTCGAGTTGATGTCATTATGTGGCCAGTCCGATCACCTTCCTCATATTAATACTCCTGTTAGCGTCATATGTCAAGAAATATGTGTTATGCTGGTCTCAGCCTCTCTTGATTCACACTCATCAAGCAACGTAACGTAAGACTATAAAAATCACCATAATACTGCTCAGTGTGGTTTGACATAAGCTATTAAGATGCCTTCTATCCCAAAACTAACATTATTGCTCCTATCTAGTGTCATTGACTATTTCTGAACCAAACAGAAGGATAACTAATAAGTACATTGTTCTTATAATAGGTATCTTGACAGCACCAAACGAACTTTTTCGTATTTATACTTAAGTTTCGTATGAACCAACACAACTTCCCAGTGTTCAGTGCTGTCGGTCACTGTGTCCTCCGTTTTTGAACTAAATTTCATTTCAAAATGATTAAGGAGCATTATTTTGCGTTTAACAGATGGACTATGCATGCTCAACGCATTCACATCTCCATTCAGAATGTTTCAAAATCACTGGAGTTTTCAGGTATTATCCTGTATCAATCGCTCACTACAGTGATCAGGCAATATTCAAATAGATTTTTAATCATTGTAATCGATGCATATATGTATAATTAACGCACATGTCAATACATCTGGTTGATTGACTGTTTAGTTTATATTAATCACTATAAATATAGTTGACTAGGATATCTTGTGTTGCGGGCTTTGACTCATCGACTTCTGAGCATTGAATCGTAGTTTCCAATCGCATTGTCCTATCTTGGTTGTATTGTGTTCTCTAAACTGGGTTGTTTAATCATGAAGCTTTCATCGTCTCTCTAGACAACATCATCAACACTAACCTAAATATGGAATGAGCTGTCAATATCTCCCCGTGAGCAATTTAGTAGCTTGCCCTGACCAACTGGTTCGTCATCGGTTGTTTCCTTTGATTGTTGTGTCATTGACTGACTGCATAGATAGATCCTCGTGTTGGCTGTTCCACTGCTTCACCTCTGACCTCCTGTCGTTTATCATTCTTCTTATTGGTTAGTAGGTGTTGGGTTGATGTCTATGCATCTCTTCATTGATTGCTGACTGACTGTATGACTGATGTGAATGTCAAGCTTCTAGGAATTCTCTGATCACATTCTTTGTGTTTCCTCTTTCCATCCAAAATTTGTACATTGTCAAATAGGAATTCATGTCTATAATTATCTACGTGAATTGAGATGAGTGATGAAATGTCGTGATGTTTAATAGCCAACCAATAGGTGTTTATGTGGAAGAAGGTGAAGAGGGTGACCACTTTGTCCAATGTAGTGTTGACTACAGTTATTGCAGTCTTTTATGTAGATGATATTCGGTTTGTCTTTGGTTGTTAGATCCTTTGGTCTGTACAACAGGGTTTGGAGGGGATTTCTTGGTTTATGAGCCACACCAAGTTGTCTCAGTAATCTTGTCGTGATCTGTGATATGATATTTATGTAGGGTAGGATGATGTACGGGATTAGCATCTTATGATAAAGTTTCGCGGGTAGCCGTTCTTCTTTAGGATAGATGTCAAGTAATTTTCTTCGTTTCTCCATCAAGCTGTTGTACTGGAGTGTGTTGTCGTTCTTTTGAATAGAATCTGCATGGAAATAATTTTGGGTTGTTGCTACAGTATTTGAGAATCTGATCAGTTTCTGTTGGCTTCTTGTACACCTAGGTTTTCAGCCATTTCACACTAATATTTTGTAACTACTTTAACAGGTTTTCTGAAGCTACCAGGTGGCGATTGTTTTATGCTCCAATAATTTCAGGTTGATATTCATCGTGAACTCACATCAGTTGGGGAAACATTGGAAACCTGAGAGCACTAGAGAGCTGTTTTGTCCTAGTATGGGACTCCTCAGCGGTGTTTACCCATGACCCCCCATCCCGCCAGGGATGGAACCCTAGGACCTTCAGGTTTCGCGACCTGCACATTACCTCTGGGTTGGAATCCGATTGTCTATATTTCCTACTTTTGTCAGTTTACGATGGTTTTCGACGGCGACATTGGATGGAGGTCGCGCTGTGTCGTAAACTGACAGAAGTAGAAAATATAGACCATCAGATTCCAACCTAGTAGCTCAATGGTAACCTGTTGGCCACGGAACCTGGAGGTCGTGAGTTCGATCCCTGGTGGAATCATAGGTGTGCGCTGGTGAGGAGTCCCATGTTAGGACGAAACATCTGTCCAGTGTCCCTAGGTTTTCAATGTTTCTCGAGCGGATATCAGTCAATGATGAATAGCAATCTGAAATCAATGAATAAATCCCCACAAACCTCAAAATTGAATTATACCTCATTGTTGAAAGTAATCGATAATTAAAACTAAATTGTATACATCATTTTGTAGCCTAAGTGGTTGTCTTGAGTATTTCTAATGGGTATGCTATTCAGCTGTAAGTTTCAACGATGAAATCGAAAGACTTCAAGTTAAAATAATGACATGTATGGGAATAATGTAGCCCAGTAGTCAGTCCAATGATGTTTAAATAGTAAATTGTGTATGGAGTAATGATCACATAACTGTCGAAGTTACATACTTAACAATTATCTGTATCAATCACATGAAACTAACCTTCAGAGTACTTGAGGTTATAGTATACTTGCAATGAAAAACTCGAAGAATAAGTGGAATTCAAATGATA